ATTCTTTTTTCATTCGGTTTTTTCCAGTTACAAGTCCTTTTTTTAAAGCTGATCGTTTTGTGTTCATTTTGTTTAGTTCTTTTTTTCGGAACAGATTTAATGTTTAGTATAGAGCTTAGAAAAAATTTGCAGTGTGAAATAGACAAGAAGTAAGGCATGTAGCAACATCAGCACGGCAAAGGGCACTCCTTTAAAGGCAAGGAAGGGCAAAAAGTAATAGCGATTGCTGTTTTGAAAAAAAGCACGGGAAATGCCAGGCCATGCTGCTAGTATATATATATATATATATATATATATATATATATATATATATATATTCAACATCATCACTTGATAAAACACCGGAGGTGTTGAAACAAAATGGCTATCTTTGTAGTGATTTTATAACATATTTCTGTTATAATTTTTAAATAAATAATTATATATATATATATATATATATATATATATATATATATATACAAAAAAATATAGTTTTATGGTATACTATATTTATGGGATACAGTGCTCAATATCAAAGATAGAGCGCAAGAAAATATAAAAAGTGAACATTGAAATCAACACTCAGAGGCGACAGACTGGTTCATGCTAAACGCAATCGTCAGGCCACTAGGTTGCGTTTAGCATGTTTGTCTGTCGCCTCTGAGTGTTGACTTTAATAATATTATATATATATATATATATATATATATATCGAGAGAGAGAGAGACAGAGAAAGAGAGAGAGGCAGAAGAGAAAAAGAGAAACATACCGACAGACAGACATGCATACACAGTGATAGGTGTAGGGAGAGGGAGATTTTTAAGATTTGTATACACATCTGACTATTAACAAGTCAAACGGTAAAGGTGAAAATAGATTATGAAGCTATGAAATAGAAAATATGCAATGATAATTTCTATGTCTAGAGTCTCTCTTATTCTCTCCCCCTCCCTCCATCTGTAGTTATTTACTAAGCGAAGCACAGATGTGGTACAAGGACGAAGTTGTGGAGTACCTAGTGAAAATCGAAATCAAGGCTATTAAAAATTGTATAAACAGAACTTTTCGATATAATTAAACCAAACATATTTAAAATAATTTCTGCTACCGAAATTCACCTTATATATATATATATATATATATATATATATATATATGTGTGTGTGTGTGTGTGTGTGTGTGTGTGTGTGTGTGTGTGTGTGTACGTGTGTAAAAATTTCAGATCGTGTATATCACCAAAATTACAATGTGAATAACGACAAGCGGAAAACAAACTTCCTCTAAAGGAATTTATCAAGGCAAATTTATTTCGTAACAACTTTTTATACAAGAGCAAAATGGTGCTGTTTTTTTTTTTAATATTTAAAATTAAGTGCGCTCATAAAAATTCAAGTTGGTCGAAACCTCAGGCAAGCTATGGAGGACGCAAAAAGACAAACATAAATAACGTAAATAATAAACAAATTAACAAACTACTAATGCACACATAAACCCAAGTAAACGTAAGCATTTAATCATAAAGTTAACAAACAACACTATGAAATAGGCAAAAAAAATAAATCCGGATCCGCAATTATTTCCACTCAATAGACCCTAGAATAATTTTAAAAATGACTGTTAACGATCACCTAAAAACCGTTAAAATACAATATACCTAACCATAATGTACTACTGACAAATATATAAATAAACAGTCAAGCCAAAACACAACACACATGGCCTGGCTATTGCGTTTATACATGAAATAGACTGTCACCGTTGGGTGTTGACCTCAATGTCCACTTTTTCTCAGTTCAGCACCTGACGATAGCGTTGTGCAGGAAAATTCGAGTCGTGTTACTGGTGAGAAAAAATATATTTTTAAATAATTTTTAGTTCTGTTATATTACATCAAGCACTATTTTGTTAACATCACCATTCATTGTGCGATATTGAAATTTTATATATATATATATGTGTGTGTGTGTGTGATATGTTCAAGGCATGCTATATTTATTGGTTAAAGTCCTCAATATCAGCGATATAGCATATGCTAATGTAAAAGTATATATATATATATATTGTTGGATAGATGTGAGTTTGTGACCCTGGGTTTCACACTTTCGCGATCGTCAAGTACCGCGCATATAATATATAAATAATTATACATATATATATTTATTTATATTTATATACACTTTTTACATATATATATATATATATATATATATATATATATATATATATATATATACACGCATATATACACGCATGCTGACAGAAACACAGGAAAATGGAAATAGATAAGATACCGATAAGTAATTCATCATTTCTTTTGGACCAATCTTAATTGTTTTATGACCCTTCGCGCAGAACTCCTCACTACCAATTCAAAAAAGACATTCGGATTACTAACACAAAAACAGAGAATGTCTCATATCGAGAAAATTTAACATCGACAAACATAAATGAAAAAAATTAATTATTTTTAATAATATGTGGAAATCTCCGCCTTTTACCTGATGACGGACGCGAGACCAGAAACACGTGTAGTAAAATTATGGAAAATAAAACATAATATTTAAAACAAAAATCCACATTATAACCAAAAACGTTTGCGGTACCTGTCTTCATTTTAATATACACACTTTTCTCTCGTTTGAACCACTATATCTTCTTTCTTATATATATATATATATATATATATATATATATATATATATATATATATATATATATATATATCAGTGAGCTACTCGAGGTCAGGCCGAGTTACCCATCTGTCAAGTTCATTTCAAGTCAACAAGTAATATTAGAGCAGCTCGGAACTCAGACTAACAACTGTCGGTCCAATCTAATAAGTACATTGCAACACACCTCATGCGGCTTTAATTAAATATTCTTTAAAGAAATATAGCGTCGCTTCAAGTTCATCACTTAAAATGTTACAGTTCTTAATTATAATAATGTTTATGACCAAAACATGTTGAGATGAGCTGGGAAAATTCAATTCTTCGCGGTGCAAGTAATTTATTATTCATCATTTATTATTATAAGTTATTTATTGTTTTTGTTTTTTTTTAATAGAGAAAAAAGTAAATCAGAACGGTATAGTGTTTAAAATAAGAAAAAAAAATAAGACAGGAATAAAGAAAGAAGGAAAGAAAATGAAAAAGAGATAAAAATTAAAGGAAAGAAAGAAAGAGAGTGAGAAAGAAAGAAAAATGCATGGAAAGATAAAAGAAACGATAAAGAAAGTAGAAAGGAAGGAAGGAAGGAAGGAAGGAAGGAAGGAAGGAAGGAAGGAAGGAAGGAAGGAAGGAAGGAAGGAAAATGCAATTGCGGCGGCAAGGTAGAGGAAAGAATGAAAGAAATTCAAAAAGAGACAAAAATGTAAGCAATTGAAAGAAAGAAAGAAAGAAAGAAAGAAAGAAAGAAAGAAAATACCCTTGCGTAGGAAAGGTGACAGAAAGAATGAAATAAATTCAAAAAGAAAGAAAAATTTAAGGAAAGATGGTAAGATCATAGTGTGAATGGAAGCATGCACGCAAAAAATTCTACCGCACAGTATTAGTTCTTGGGGAAAAGATGAAGTAAAATCCTCCTTACAAATGGAATATGTTCCGAATTTGGGTAATTAGACCCAAAAGGCATAATATGGTGAGTCCAGATATAAATGTCTTAAATGTTGAAACTAAACGCCTGGAGTTCATTTTCATGGAAACATCGATAGAGTAAGCAATAGATTTGTCTCTTAGAAATAGGCTCTAGAATAGAAAATGAGTTAAACTGTAAGACAGCGTAAATGTTTCTGGAAAGGCTGGAAAAAGCGGATTGGACAGACCCAGCCCAGATATAACAGCATTATTCCATTTTTGGCATAATCTGAATCTTGTAATGATAAACCTCAGCAGAATGTCCAGATACTTCCAGGAACAAACAAATTAGCCGTTTCCCTATGAGGAAACATTTGCAATTTATCGATCGAGTGGCCAGTGTTGCTTTCAGTTAAAATCTCTAAAACTTTCCGCTTATAACAATTATTCATAATAATAGGTTTCTCAAATCCAGTAGCTGTTATCTTTCTTTCCACTATTGATGAAGTTGTCCTTCTTAACCTTTAATTTAAAGTAGTGTGAGATGTCAAAATCTTGATTATCATTAATTTATCTTCCAGTTACATGTACTATTTTAATTGTTGGTGTTGTTGGTAGCTTTCAAGTTAGCTGGTTTCTGTTATTTGACACAATTCATTGTGATTATGAAGTGACACTTCTCAAAGCTCAAAGAAGAGTGGTCTTTTCCAAAACCTACAGTTCTGACCTTCAATGCTTAAAGCTTACCCTGCTGCCCACATTGTAGTGAACCGCGCTCATTCTGCTCGCATTGCATTTTTGAGATGTAAGTTCCACTGAAGCAGCTTCTTGCTGCGAACCGCTGCTTTGTGGAACCGACTCCTCAGAGAGTGTTTTCACGATCACTAAAATTCTTTCTTACCTGTTCAAGTTTAGGATTAACCGTTATCTTCACATATCCGTCTAAACTGTGCCTCTTACGCTGTAATCCTCTACCTTGACTGGATTCTATACAGAGGGAACATCACTGTAAAAAAGGATAGACTGGGTCCTATTGTCTTGGCTGGCGATCAGGCTACCTCAGAAAGAAATGGCAGCCTACTTTAAGAAAATGTTCTGCCTTCTCAATTATAACTAGATAAAGGGATGATATCCCAAGCCTGTGCTACGTATGGAAATTAACTGACTGAATAATGAGAAAATCTTCTTGCCTTGTCAATCATAGATAGATGCGTGATATCTCAAGCGTGTCCAACTATCGAAATTAACTGACTAAATAATGGTTTAGTGTTACAAGTATTACTAATTAAGCCATAGCTTTGTGAGAAGATATGGATTCATATCTTCCCCAAGAGAATCTACGTTGAAGTGAATATAACGAACTTAATGGAAATTAGAAATCAGGTCGCCGTTTAACAATTCCGAACCATTATTATTCCGTTACACCACATGCACATCCAATCGTACAGCATCTGGTATTCACAAGCGACCACCCATCTAGTTATTGATCTGGATCAACGTTGCTTAACTTCGGTGATCGTACGGGAAGCGGTGTTTCAACACGATGTGGCCGTAATTCTTTATTTGTAAATTCTTTGCAAGTCTCAAATCCCCTTTTCAAACAGTTCAGAATTTAGACATTTGTTTTCGTAGACTGGATGAAATCCAATGATTGGAAACCTTGACTGTCCCGCTATTTAATCCATAGGTGGAGAGCGAAGAAAGGTATTCGTACTTTTCCTAGTGAATGTAGAAGATTAAACTGAAACTTGAATGTGTTCCTTTGATTTCATTTCCCTGTCTTATAATCCTTGCATTATATCCAAGTTCATCCAAGTAGATGGCAATAATCAGCATAGAAATTTATTTTCAATTTTTTAAATTAATTTTGTTTCATTTTTGTTAATCAGTGAAACGATTAAATAAAAAAGAAATTAAATTCAAAATTTAAAAAAATAAATTGAAAATAAATTACCACGACGATTTTGGCCATCTTTTTGAATGTTTATATAATCTAACCGGTTAGGAGAGCGGAAAATGAAATCAACGAAACGTGTTCAAGTTTCAATTTAATCTAGTGTATCCAATTTTGCACTAAAGCCAATGAGGAAAGCATAAATATCTATATTCTCTCTAAAGACTAGGTATCCAATCCTTGGGTCTCAGCCTCTCTAAGGAAAAAAACTCTACATTCTAAACTAAGTAGGCGATTTAAAATCACTCTATTGGCAATAAATTCACAGATAATAAAAAATTGGTCTCTGTGGGAAAACCATAGTCCACTACTCCCTTAAAAGACATAGCATTTCAAAAGACTGTTCCACTATGTCCTGAAGTCCTATTTTTTATTCACACCAAGGGAGGAGTTAAAAAGCATTACGATGCAGTGGTGTTTACAGACAGTAAAATAGAATGAGGAGACTTTAGTGGGCGGGGAGGATTGGCAAATGAGAAAACTCCTTCATTTCTTCCCATTCTCCTAGTTAGTGTCTGCCCCTGTGGTGCAGCCATCTTTACAAAGTGGAACACAGGCTTTCTCTCAGCCCTACAGAATCCATCGTACCTGATTCCAGCGATAGCTAACCCATTTGGTTCTGATTGAATCGCCTCCGTCCAGCTGTTAGTCGCTGTAGAGCCATCCTTCCGAAATGGATATATGATGCCGATGACGATCCCAGCTTCCAATGCAGGCAGTTACAGACTATAGACCGTCTTCTAGTTTGTTCCAGTCTTGAAAATTAGTGTACACTTGAAACCTTAGCATCCCAGGCAAGGCTCTCTGTGCAACACTGGATGGGTGTAATGGAGCTACTCGATAATATAATATATTGAGAAGAAGAAAGCAACGGACAATAAAGAGATAGGATTCATGTTGATTGAAACAAACCAGATATTTATGTCTTTCCGGTACATATCAATTATTAAATAATAATTATTATTGTCGATCGGTTCACACTTCTCCCTAGTTTTTTGAACAGGAGTAGAGGTTTATCAGTGATTCTCGTTTTAGGATCGGGTTTCCGATCTTTAGCTCCCAGCAGTCCCTTGCATCTTAGTGTCATTTTTGCCTTGTTTCGTCCGTACTGATTAAAACAACATAAATATTTGGTCTGTTTCTCCAGCTGTATATCTCGAATTCTTTAATGAAATTCAAAGAGGGGTGTTTAATTTAATAGATCCTGACTAGACATCGCGACTTCAGTTATTTTCTCACTGACGTGATGCGGCTTCTCTCTGGTTGTTCTCCAAATATTTTCATAGCAACTCTTCTAATGAGCTTTTTTCTCTAGTGACTCGACTACATGAATTTAAGCGTTCTACGAGATTGCCATCAAGGTCTTATCGTTTTACTGGTGAACTAGCTAAATGCAGACACCACATCTACTCTAACAGTTTATTTTCTCGCACTTCTTTCACTCGTCTCGATTTCTTGCTTCCCTGATAACAACGACCTCCAAAAATTTAAATGAAAAAATCAATCAACATGAATCCTATCTCTTTATTGTCCGTTGCTTTCTTCTTCTCAATATATTATATTATCGAGTAGCTCCATTACACACATCCAGTGTTGCACACAGAGCCTTGCCTGGGATGCTAAGGTTTCAAGTGTACACTAATTTTCAAGACTGGAACAAACTAGAAGACGGTCTATAGTCTGTAACTGCCTGCATTGGAAGCTGGGATCGTCATCGGCGGCATATTTCCATTTCTGGAGGATGGCTCCACAGCGACTAACAGCTGGACGGAGGCGATTCAATCAGGACCAAATGGGTTAGTTATCGCTGGAATCAGATACGATGGATTCTGTAGGGCTGAGAGAAAGCCTGTGTTCCACTTTGTAAAGATGGCTGCACGAAGTAGCTAAGTGGTTTTTTGCTACTATAACCAAGTAGAATACGGTAGCAGTAATCGACTGGTACGCGTCGTAGTCGCAGGTAAGAAGTGTAGATTCATGGCGTAGTCCAATGGGCATCGTCATAGACTTAGCTCTCAGACTAAGGCTTTTGACTCTCCTACACGTCCGTCTGTATTTATGACGGACACCAATCATATTCCAGTGAGGGGGAACACAGGTGTACGCATATTCCATTATATCAATAATGATATTTAATAATAATATTTATCCAATAATAATAATTTATTTTAATTTATTCAGTATCTAATTTATTTTAAATTTATATTTTACATTAAATAAAAAAGATTATTTCAATCATTTTTTCGTTTTTTTTTTAATCAAACGACGCACAACAACAGGTATCGGCATTTCTTTCAAGCCAGACATACGGGATATTGCTGTGTTAGAGAAAGTTTCAGTCTCAATATCCGTAAAGTAAGCAGCTAATATTCTGTTATAGAATGAATAGGCTACCTAGGCTCTAAAAATTAAGAAAAAATATTCTTTGGCATCAATATTAGTTTAAACTAATTAAAGTCATCCGTCATTCAGCAAATTCCAGTGACAGGCTTTGTTCTCGCCCTATACAAAATTACGCTCATGATATATACACGAACTATCAAATCAGACGAGCAGACGGTAAGCTTTTTTGGTTACTTGTTTTGTAGCTGACTGACAACACTTAATTTTCTTTCAATATATTCCTTCGTCCTTTTTTTTTTTTTTTTTTGTAGTGTTCTTTTTTAGATTTTCATTACGTGTTGTTTATGTTTTCAGTTACATTGCAATCATTACGCTTTTTTATTTGATTTTTTTAATTTCATTTATACATCTTTTCTTATTTTTGGGGGTTTTTTTTTTTCACTATTTAGACTTGTCTTTTTTGTTTTAATTCCTTCCTTTTTCTTTCTTTCTTACTTTCTCTTTCTTTCCACCTGTTTCGTCATTTCTTTTTCTTCGCTTTGGTTTAATTCTTTTTTCTTTCTTTCTTTCTTTCTTTATTCATTCTTTCTTATTCTGTTGTCATTTCTTTCTTTCTTTCTTTCTTCTTTTATAGCATCTTTTTTTTTCTTCGTCTGTCATTTTTTTCTTTATTTCTTAATTTTTTTTCTTTTCTTTGTTAATTTTATAGCATTTTCTCTTGTTATTTCATCTCCTGCCATTTGCCTTTTTATTTTCTATTTCTAATTTCTTTCTTTCTTTCTTTCTTTCTTTCTTTCTTTCTTTCTTTCTTTCTTTCTTTCTTTCTTCCTTGAGTCATATGTTTTTTTTTCTTCTTTTCTATTTTCATTTCTTCTTTTATAATTTTTCTTTCTTTCTTTCTTGCTTTCTTTCTTTCTTTCTTTCCACTCCACTGAGTCATTTGTTTCCTTTTTCTTCTTTTTTAATTTCATTTCTTCTTTTCTCGCTTTCTTTCTTTCTGTCTTTCTTTCTTTCTTTCTGTCTTTCTTTCTTTCTTTCTGTCTTTCTTTCTTTCTTTCTTTCTTTCTTTCTTTCTTTCTTTCGATCTTTTGCGATTTCTTCGTCTTCTGTTATTTCTTTTCTAGCCATTTCTTTTTTCCTCTTCCCTTTCGATTTTTCTTTCTCTCCATTTTTCTATTCATTTCTTTCTTTCCTTTCATCTTCTTTTCCATTTTCTCTTCCTCTGTCATTTCCTCTTTCTTTTTCATTCTTTTTTCTTTCTTCTTTCTTTCTCTTTATTCTCTTTTTTTTTTGCCATTTCTTGTCATCTTCACCCTTTGCTTGCTATGCTTTTCTTTCTTATCGCTTTCATGGTATTCCTTTTTTTTCCATTCTTCATACATAATCACTTTCCTTTTTTCGTTCACTCCTTCTTTCTTTCTTTCTTTCTTTCTTTCTTTCTTTCTTTCTTTCTTTCTTTCATTTATTCCCATTGTTACTATTTCCTTTTTCCATACCTTTTTTCATTCCTTTTCACATCTGTTGTCGTTCATTTATTATTCCTTTCATTCGATACATTTTTATTATTTATTTATTCATTTATTACATCGTTCTCAAACTTTTCTCTCCATCATTCCCAATTCCCTATTTCTCTCTCTCCTTCTCTCTCTCTATATATATATCTCTGTATCTCTCTCTCTCTCTCTCTCTCTGTTTTTCTCATACACACATATACACTCTTCATCTCTTCTATACAGTTAAACATATAAATGAGATTCATTTAAATCCGTATGTATATGTGTGTGTGCGTGTGTGTACGTATACGAGAGGTGCTGAAAAATCCTCACCCACCGACAGTGCAGAAATTCAGACCAAACATCTTTTTTTTTTTTTAGTGGAAGTCTTTCTGGTTTCGGATGAGAACTTTTCAGCACCTTTGTAGGATTTTGTTTTTCGAAAATAATAATTTTTACTGTTATTGTTAACGTAGAATTTAAGCTGAATATGATAACGTTAATAATCGTCGTTACTAGTGTTTTCAAGTAGTCCCTCATCTATGTATTGACGGGGCTCAGAAGTGCTTAACTGATCCAGTGTTAATAACAATGCAAGAATAATTTCAAATAAGTCATCTGACAAGAAAAAAGGTATATCTCTTGTCTTGAGCACAAATTTTAATGGCTCTTCTGAGACAATGTTTAATCCTTTCTTTTCGTGAATAAACAGCATTTGTTTACCATAAAATCTACTTATGTATGCTATCATCAAATACATGTTAATAGTAATATTAGCCCTTTCCTTATAAGGAAACGTTTGGCATTCATTGACCGTTGATCCAGTGCTACTTACAGTTGAAATTTATAAAACATTTATTTAAAAACATTTTTTCAGGAAATTAGGTTTCTCAAGTCCAGTAGCCGTTACTTTCTTTCTAGTATTGATGGGGGTTTCCTTCCTGACCTGATATCTTGACTGTGTCATTATTTTCACTTCCAGTTAGCAGTCATATCCATTTCTGTTTTTGGCGTCTGTTGGTGGTCTTAAAGCGATGTGGTTCATTTTATTTGGTACAGTTCTTTATTTGTGATTCTGTAGGCCTTCAACAAAAACCAAACATTTCACTCACTCAAAGCAATGTTTAAAAATTGATCTTATGACTAGTATTTAACGCAGATATTAATAGTAATATTACACATTTCCTTATAAAAAGAAAAAAAAAACCTTCGTTATCTATTAATAGCTTTTGTTCTGAGACAATGTTTAATCTTTTCTTGCTGTGAATTAACAGTATTTTTACCATAAAATCCCCTTATTTATGCCGTCTATCATCAAATACATGGAGATGGTAATATTAGCTGTTTCCTTATGAGGAAACGTTAAGCATTCATTAACCGAGCAGCTAAAGCCTCTATTGACTGGCATTTATAAAATGTTTCTCTTAAAACAATCTTTCAGAAAAGTCGGCTTCTCAAGTCCAGTAGTTGTTATTGTTCCTTCCAGTAACCTGCCTAACATGTTTTGAAAGTAGTTTAGAATGTCAATATTTTGGGTATATCATTACTTTTTTCTTTATGGTATATGTGGTGTCCGTTTTAGCTCTTGAAAGTTCTCAAGTGAATTAGATTCTCTCCCTTGGCACGCTTCTTTGTTCGTTATATAAAACTAGCCAACTTATCCGCGTCTTGCTGCATATCACACATTTTCTTTGTAAGAAAGTAATGATTGATTTGTGGAGAAAGATGATGCATTTCAATATTACTCAATGATATAGGCGATGTGACTTCCATCTTCCGGCTTTCTCCTTCTATATTTTGGATAGGAGTCATTCCCTTGTTTAAATTTTAGTTTCATTTAAATCAATGGTTAAAATATCAATGGGGTGCCCCTTCCGCCAAACATCCCGGGGACCAGCTTCGATCAAAATGAAAGATACTTGTCCAAGTTCTCTAGGAGTCATTCCTATGTTCAAATTTGAATTAAATTTACATCAAAGAGGAAAAACTGTTCAGTAGGAGATTTGTGCCCATTATTATTGTGTCATAATTTAATATATTCAAATTGTGTGAATTTTCACTCTGTCTAAAACTATTTTTGAATAATAAAGAAATCTTGAAATTACTAGATTTCCAATCCCGAGATGACTTCTGGATCGCCCTGTACAAATAAATAGTAAAACGCAATTTTTTGGGATACATTCGGAAAATATAAAGGGATCGAGCTAAAAATTATACTTTTGAATTGGCTCACATTTAAATAATTCATTTTAAAATTTTCACCGACCAATCAAAGCACGCCACGTACATAGCGCTACCTTACAAGGACTATGCACAGTTATAACGTTAATTTGATATATAGGTAGCACGTTCGAAAGATTCCTCAATGGCGATGATTTCATGATTTTCGTCAGGTTATCATTGGTCAGCCTGCTGGTTGAATTGGATGACAAAAGATCTCCAACGAAACCAATATTTCCATTAATACAATTAGAATAATTTTAATAAAATATTAAGTTGGAACTAATAAAATTTAAACACTTGAAATAATACCTCGGTAAATTGTTCAGTTAGAACAAATTTAGATTGAGATATAAAGAAATTGAACTGGCTGTGCTTGAGCCATTGTGGAGTAATGGTTAGTGGTTGGGATTTGGAGCCTGGTTCGAATTCCAGTCTCCGATTTCTCAATCCTAACCGCTAACTTACGTACTAAGTTCCTATATGTGCAATTTGTCTGTGGAGGGGAGGAATAAAAATGGCAAAATTTAAAAATGAAACCCCAATGAATATTTCCAATGAATACAATTTATATACAAGAAACTAAACAGAATAGTGTTAGTAATAAAAAGAAACACAATCCTTAATTGTGGCAGAAAAATCAGCTAACTGGACAAAATTAATACGGGTCTAGGTAATGAAAAGCAATCATTCGACTTGTTACTCAATCAAACAGGCACTGAAATACACTCATCCAGACACAAAAAATTAAATACGAAATGCTCACTCAAACAACTAAAAGCGCATTGCATCTACCAGAGAACTGACACTGTGCGGCGGGGGGGGGGACTAAACTAAAGGAAATGGGGACATGAATAAAAAGACCAATGAGCATACACCCCCCAAGTTAACTTGATAGAAGAAATTAAGGATAAAACAAACCTAAAGTACCCTATTTAAACAACAAAATGACACTCCAAGTGAAATTCCCGCGCAGAATGCGAACCATGATATCTTCAATGAATTTGCCCTACAGGACTACAAACCTGCAGTGGAAAAGGGTGTGACCTAGTGTATCCACTGATTCACCACAGTTTGGGAATTTTTCCAATCCCGCCGAACAAAAACTTTTACCAACCCAGAGGGCTTTTCTTATCTCCAATCAAGTGAGTGATGTCTCATCATTAGAGTGGCTTCTTAACCCAGGTACCCAAAGCCATATGTAGCAAGCCTCCTGCTTCGTAAGACTGAGCCCGCCTATCGGATCGTCTTGAACGGACCCCTAACTAACACGTGATATAATGTCTTACGGGACAACGTCTGTACGATGTGCTTGACAACAATCCGCCATTCACGACAGAGGTAAAACGGGGGAGGCTTCTCCTCGCACGATTGCACACTACTCAGAACAATTATCATGGAAGTATTTATAAAAAAAAGAAGCTACATTACAGCGGTGGGAAAGTGAATGAAGCCGAGATGCCATATCTGGATCAATAACATTGCAGATTCTTCTTTGGATTTCATCACGAATCTCTAAATATATAGCAAGAGAACCAGACCAGATTTGGCAGGAATATTCAAAACAAGAACGAATGGCAGACTTATCAGTATGTAAGTTAGATTCTGGCGAGAAAAATTGTCTAGCATGACTTTCTTATTAGCATACTTAGCAATTGATTAACTATAATCTTTGCAGCAGAAAAACGTTAGCCCGAGATATCACAATGAGTCACAGGAGGTAGCAAATCCCTTTTCAACTGTCAGTCGTTCTTTTATAGAGTCAACGAATGAAAAGATCATTACAGTGTCAATACAAATCTTTGTTGAATTATGAAACTCAACGTATCTTTTACATGTGTCCCGACAGAAACCTTCCCGTTTCTCTCAGGTTAACGAAGATTTTACAAGTCAACAAGAGAAGAGTTCTTTAGAACTGTTAAACATTAAAAAAAGCCACTGGGAGTGAAAGCCCGGCGCTCGATTAGGGAGAAAAAAAGATGCCCACGGGGCACTTACAACGAAAACAATCACTAACTGATTTAATGGAACTAAGGGAGAGAAAGGTCAAAATATTTGCATGACATTCTAGGATGAGATCCCAAGGAAGACAACCCACGGAGAAAATCAGTATGATAAATCGGTTATCAGGAAAAATGAATATAGATAAGTAATGTTTTTGAACCCAGAATTAAATGTCAGCTTAGAAACTGATGTAAGTGAACGATGAGAAACTGCAGGCGTTGGTAACCCATGAGACTTTGCCTTGTCAACTGGGAAGGAAATTAGATAAAAGGACCAACTATTGGAAATTGTAAATTTGTTTAAAATGAGGCTATGAACAAAATTACATTTTCTCGAAATCACTCGACGCTTTGTTAAGTGACTCGACGCAGAGGCGGTGATGAGGAGAACTGGCTCTATATAGGCGAGAGTCGACGACATTTTCGAATATTAATCATAGTTCTAGCAGTGGTCGAAATAGAAGCCATAATACTGGTCATTCTTCGAAATAAAACCACTCATACGCCGCCCGTTAGACCCGATTATAAAGTAAAAATAGCTTACAGAAAGACGCCACAGTCCTCACCCTCGAAAGCTCAGATCAGAGAGAGAAAAGTTTTAAGAAATCTATTCTAAAGATGAGTTATACAACTTATTAACCTGTTATAGTGGAACACACCTATTCTATAGTTAATAGACTCTCCCACCTATAATAAGTAGTAGTAGTAATAGTTACGAGTCAATCGCGAAGTCGCTCAGTGAGTTGGTCAGTCAGTCAGTCGATGTCGGACGACCGTTAGTCGAATACTAAAGTATCAACGACCACTACTAGATTTCTCTGCGTCATTACCTATTATATCAAGTTCCTAACGTTTTGTACGTCGAACCTATTTTAGGACCGACTTAGTGAAATACAAGCCTCCACTGTGAAACTACTCTACAACACTTGACGACGAGGATTCGAACTCATACGGAGAAAAAAAAAATTCGTTCGCCATATACAACACTTGGCGACGAACGTATATTGATTCATACGGAGGAAGAAAAATTTTCGTTCACCATACAACATCACTAAAGCGTAATTTCGTGGGCTATATCCAAAATTGAAAAATGTCCAGAAAAGGACCAAGATTTGTCGACATCCCCGATATCCAGGATCACGCGTCTATATTATTGAAAGTTTTCCGGTAAACCTGTCGTAAGAATGTTCCCCAGAGTCTCACGATGAGCATAGTTTCACAAGTGGAGGGCATCTGAAGATGGCAACAGCCGGTTGCGACCAAATAAAGAGAATTTTGATTTTACAGAGTAATTCCAGCAGTTAAATTGTCTGCCTTGTATTTCAAAGATGACAGAAACCTATAGTAACCAGATAAGGAAATGTTGCTTTTACAGTGTCATTCCAACAATTAAATTGTCACACGTTGTATTTCAAAATTGATAGAAACATATAGTAACCAGGTAAGGAAATTTAGCTTGTCCTTGAATTTGGCTATTCCTTGAATTAAATTGTCGCACCACTTATTTTGAAGTGGATATCAGCCAATAATGTCCAACTTTACTTTTACAGGGATATTCCAGGAATTATCACGAATCGTAATTTGATTTTGAAAGTACCCAAAATGTCCAGATAATCAAAGTTTGTTTCTGCAGAGCTATTCTAGGGATTTGTTTGCCACACTTTGTATCTGACTAATGTTGGAAGAAATCAAGCAGCTGGTACGCTAAACCCGTATGAATTCTTCTCTTTCTAGGTGTACTTATCCGAAATGATCTGATTGCCTTACGGGAGAGACACTACCGCATCGGCTGAGTATTTCGATGTAACATCTCCCTTGCTAGCTGAATAAGATGCCTTCGAGAAAAAAAGAAGACCCAAAGGGAAAAGAAATGGCACAAACAGATGCAATGGTCCGACCAAGCAAATTGAAGGCAAGTGGACAGTTGGGATGTTACGTGTGGCACCGATGATTGAAAAGCTTTTAACTGACAAATATTTCCAATACAATTTTGGTCAATTCTAAGAGTCAACCTTTACACACGCCCACACACACGCGCACGCACACACACACGCACACACACACATGTGTGTGCGCCGACGGCTTAATGGTTAGAATCTCTGACTGAAACCAATTCAGTCGGGTTTCGATCCTAGCTAGAGTCAACCGGATGTCTAGCCACACTGATGAGCTGTGAAACAGCGAAACAGTCTGTCTGTGGATGACGATATATATATATATATATATATATATATATATATATATATAAAACAAAGTGGAAAATGTTCTCTTGTGTCGCGTTTCGTTCTTTAGAAGTTCATCGGACTAAATTTATTTTGCCACGACTACACATGCTCATGAACGAGGGAGGCTAGGAATTTTAAATTTATTTTGTTGTTGTTTTTTTTTTATTTAGATTCCTTTTCCTTTTCTTTCCATCTATTTTGTTAGTCGATATCACACGCTGTGATAATAGAAGTTCTGCCAGGAATGATGAAATGTTGTAAGATCCTGTTATATTTCGCTCTTAGAGGTTACAATATTGTTTCGCTTAATCTACTCACCGTGACGTCATTAGAAATTTTCCTCTGATGACTCTAACGGACCTCTTAACTCACTTGGTGTTCTTTATTTATGGTATAGTGATCTTTCACTGATTTTTTTCATTTCTTGCTTTTTTCCAAGCTCTATTAAAATACCCTTAAACCGTTCACTTTGTTCGTTTGACGTTGGGTGATACGGCGCGTTAGTAATGTTTTCAGTAAGAATATTTTACAAAATTCTTTAAGTTCGTAAACAGTGGATTGTGTACCGTTATCAAAGACAATGGCATCAGGAATGGAATATCTTGCAAACAATAAATATAAAAAATTCGCTGTAATGGTTTTTTTTTTTTTTTTTTTTGCACTTACAAATTTCATGCCACATAGTAAAACTATCCTCTACCCAAAAATAATATGATCCGTTTATTGGTCCTGAGTAATTTATGTCCAGTATTGATCACGGCGTAGCTGTCTTTGGTTAAGGTTCTAATTTCGTGGTAGGTAATTTTTCTGACAGAGCACAACCTCTGCAGGTTTTTATTAATTTTTTAATATCTGCATCCATTTTCGTCCAATATACATAGCTTCTCATAAGAGATTTTCATAGTTGAAATTCTCGGATCTCTACTATGAAATTCTTTTAATATCCGCTTTTGTAATATGATAACTATTACTACACTTTATAACGTCCTGGGTATGACGATAAACTACATCCGCGTCCTGGGTAGGACGATAAACTACGTCCAACAGCAAGGCCTAGGATGAGGTTTTGAGGAGTGTGGAACCACCTCTTAATTGCTAGTGTTCCCAGGTCCACCCTGACCCGGGTGGTAGCACCTGTTAGAGCCCCATCTATGGAAAAATAGTTACCCACTCCACAAACTGGGGTCAAAATACTATGAAAGTGTAAAAAAAAAAAATTTAATACAAGAAATGCTTTGTAAAAAATTATTACAAGTGATACATTTTTCAAAAACAAACATTACCAGCAATACATTTTTGGATAAAAAAAAAAAACATTACCAGCTATATATTTTTTTGAAAAAAAAAAGAAAAACAATATTACATGCAATACATATTTGAAAGAAAATTATTACCAGAAATAGATTATTGAAGAAAAAAAATTAATAGAAATAGATTTGTTGTAAAAAAAATATTACCAGAAATAGATTTTTGGAAAAAAATATTGCTAACAATAAAAACTTTGTCGGCATTAAATAATCACTTGCGGTTGATATGCCGTAAAACAAACCAAACCAAACTACACTTTATACAAACCTCAGTACCCGCTCCCTTAGCGAGTAAGCCTTCAAGTTTGGATTGAGTTCGAAAAATCGTTTTTCTTTTACTCGGTTTTTAGTTTCGAAATAAACATGTCTTATTCTGCTTTTGCTTTTATTTTTCACAGAGTGGCTGCTGACAAGTTTGAGCAGCTGGATGACAGAACGTGGTCTGGGGAGGAAGCAGAAGAAAGGACCTTGCTGAGAGCTGCAAGGGATACAGGGAGATGGAGAGCCATGATCGCCTACGTCCTGAAAGGACAAGACATATAAAATGAAAGTAGCGAACACGAATAATGTGCGATGGCTTTCATGTTACCATCATCATATTTATGTAGAATTACCGCTCCTATACAATAATCACGAGCATCTGAAGCCAGTACCATTTTGCTTTCGGGTTGTAGTATGCTAATGATGTCTGACGTTGGTAATTTTTTGATTTCTTCAAACGCCTTCTGGGACTTATCAGTCGCGTTCTACTCTACACCTGCTTGAAACAATTTGTTTAGTGGAGCTCTCAAATTCTGCATTTTAGGTTTATAGATTTGATAATAATTTTTTAGTCATAGGAATGTTTGTAACCTAGTAACATTTGTTGGAGTAGGCATATTCTTAATTGCACTTGCCCTCGACAGATCTGGTTGACGACGATTTTTGTTAATGATTTGACCTAAGTACTTGATTTTAGGCAAAAACATTTCGCACTTTTCTTCGTAGAGTTTGAAGCCGTATTTTTGTATTTTTTCAAAAGCTCTTTTTACATGCCAAATATGTTGATTCTCAGATCCACTTTTAATAAATATATCATCTCGATAAGCAATTGCAAAATCCCAATCAGCAAGTAAAGTATCCATAGCTTGCTGAAATATAGGTGGAACCACTTTTATCCCAAAAGTAAGCCGGTTGAAATTATACATCGCTTTTGTATATTTATAGTCTTTCCATCTTTTTTTGCAAAGAATTTCAGAAAGATCCAGCTTCGAAAATTTTTTTCACCGTTTAAATTCACAAAAATTTCCTCTGGACTTGGTAATGGTTATTGATGCGATTATAAATATTTGTTTAACCCTGTTAAAAAATCAGCACAAAGACCATTTTGTTCTTTAAA